TGTCTTGACACTCCATGAATAACAAAAACATACATTTTTCCACTGTAATTTTGAACCTTTGAGCAGGAAAGCAGGGTTGCAAATCAAATATCAAAAGACATGCATCAAACACAAACAAGACCATAAGTACATTAGAAATTATCTGGGAGCATGCTCCTCTTATTGCGTGGTTCCTACAATTCCTGCAAATGAAGGAAACATTAAAACAATCTAAATTTAAAGTAGTGGAAAATATAAAAATAGAAAATTATTCTTACATAATTCTATTAAATCAGAGTAGCTGTTGCTGCACACTTGACGTCCTCCGCCATAACCAATTTCATACTCAGGAAGAGACTTGTTGTCATTGCCATGTTTGATTGCGCTTCTGGCGTCACAAGCGTACTTGTACGTTATGAATCCATAACTATACCTAGATTAAGCACAGCAAAAATTGTGGTATTGTACTCTAGGAAAATGACTAATAAAAATATCTTGCACAAATCAAAAGTGCTTTGGGGAGCTAAAATATTAATCTTCTTCTGAAGATTAAAGTTTCACTGAAATTGACCATAAATGTGGGAGACATTATGTGCAAAATTCACTGTTATGATCACATTTAAAAATTTTAGGAGAATCTTTCAACATGTTTTAAAAAATGGTTTTAAATCAGATCAATACAAATATTTTACTTATCCTTCTTAGTTTTCGACTTTTACACCAGGAGATTTTTTTGGTTGTTCAAATGAAAGGAAGGTCTGTTAATTCTTTCAAGATGAAAAGGTTGGACAAAAAAAAAAAAAAAAAAAGGGGGGGGGGAAAGTGCGCTACAAGAGTATAAGACTAATGTTACACACTTATGAATATGAGAGTTCAAAATGAGAGAGGAAATTAGTATCTATGTTTCCTCTTGCAGCTATCATACCATGTCCTAAATTAAAATTTTGTCAGAATAAATTAAATTAGACGGCAAAGTATTTTCAGACTTTTGCTTTTCTCTACAGCTAACGATTGTCGAATGGATGAAAATTTTCAAAAATTACATCTAAGAAAGCTTCTTTCACAGCACTCTCTGACTTTATCATAAAAATGTTAACCTTCCAAAATTTAAAGAAACGATTCTTGCACTTATTATAGGGAGAGATAGTATCACCAGGAAACCAATTAAAGAATAATTTTTCTTACTTTATGTTTCCTTAAAAAATATTAGGAGTAGTTAAGTGAGAAAAACTTGTAAAAAAAGAAATAAATAAAATTGAGGACTTCTGGCCAGTGTAGAACGGGTGCATTACCATCGAGAAGGGACATCATCAAATTTTGCCAGAGAGTTGGGGTGGGACCATTGATTAATCTGTTGACTTCCGAATTTTGACTAGATCTAAAAACATGGGACAGTTATGTTACCAGTCTGCTGTGCTAAAGAAGAATGCTGTAAAAGCCTTCAGATATTGCCAAGTTTCTTTAGATAAAATACAACTTTATACAGAAATCCATGAGCATTTTTCCTTCCATTTTTTAGAGAAATTTCTTCCCTATTCCATTTTAATTATCCAAAAATTTCATCAGGAAATATTCATAACTCTCCTCAAAAATACAAATTTGGTTTTGAGGAGGAAATTTGGCAACTCAAGAATGTTCATATGGCGTCCTTCCTTAGCAAGGCTGTATTTGTAGGACATCAGTTTGTAAGGAAACTTGCGACATCAATGGAGGCATGATAGCTCTCGGTACTTTTTGATGAACCTTAAATAGGTTGAAGTGAAATTAATAATACAAAACCAAGGTATTACGCAAAAAGTAAGTTCCAAAGCAGAAATAATCACATTTGAATGAGCAATAATTTCTGTTCAGCTGAGTTTCACAGCTTTCCTATGGTATACCTAGGCCGGCAGGGCCCTCATCTTTCCTTCCTTGAATCTAGAACCGCTCATTGCATTCTTTCAAGTGAACATTGAAAATAGGCAAGCAGAGTTGAAAAGGGAGGAAGGGTGAATTATTCCATGTGATAATCATGCATGGCAACAGCTCAGCTACATTATCTCTTATTTGTATTTTGTAAAGAGCGTGTTTAGAGGCTTAGAGAAGACGGAAATAACAACCCTATGTATAGGAGATAAAGCATTTTGAGCAGTTATGCAAAGCAAGCCTTACATTTTTTTGTTCTCTCAACTATTAATGCTTTTACTTTACTTTCAGAAAAGAAAAGAGCCAATCCATTCTATTCTAATTCCATTTTCGGTAACTTCATTATATTGATCTTTGAAAACAGAAATTTAGAACTGGAATTTTGGGAGATCTTATTCTTGCGAAAGGAGCTCACCCTGTAGTCCTTAGGTGTAGGCTGACATCTAACACAGGTCCGAATTCTTCAAATCTGTCACACAAATCAGATTTAGTTGTGCCCCGGCTGATTTTTCCTACATAAATCATGCGACCTTCAGCAATGGCTTTATCTTGAACCGAAATATTGTAGTTTCTTTGAACCAGCGGCCTGTAGACTTCTGATCTAATAGGTGAAATTGACCTGAGGGAAAAGAATACAGAAAAAATTAGTTGTTATTGTTATCATATGCTCAAGCAATGCACATGTCAGAGGAAGGATTAACTTTCAAATGCAACGTCACTGTACCTTTACGTGACATATCTTCAGTGAAACTTTCAAGCTACGTACCTTGTTTGCGAGGATAAAAATCTCTGCTCCTATTTTAGTTTTTTGGAGGAGAAAAAATCAACATCATTTCTTGAAGTTTTCACTAAGTGTCCTTTGGCACAAAGATGAAAAATCACAAAGTTTTAAAGAAATGACGTTGAGCAGTTTTCCATTTAAAAAGTAAAGTAGGACAGAAAGTCTGCAACATTGCAAACTGAAATACAGGGTTAAAGAGTTTTGCCATCAATATAGCATCATTGCTAGAAAAAATTCTACAGGTTATAGAACTTACCTAAATTTAATCGTGGAAAAAAAACATGGAAAAGCTGGAATACTTTGAATTTATGGTTTCCTATGCAACAGCAACAGATTCATTCTGAGCAATGAGTGAATTCTTTTTCCTTTCATGCAGCTCAGATAGTTTGAAATCTTACTTAATTACTTTTGTGGAAGCATTGGTGAAACGTACCTTGTTTTCCTGCTAGAGCTCGATGATCGACCTCTATGGTAATTCTTGCTTCGACGACTGTTGTCTCTGCTTCTAGGCCTATCTTCACGGCTCCTTCGTCTGCTGTCTTTACTTCTCCGTCTATTATGTCTACTTCTGCTTCTGCTTCTACGCCTATCTTCCCAATCTTGGTACCTGTGATGATCTCTACTCCATCTATCACCATCCCTACTTCTTCTCCGATAGTCACTTCGGTACCTGTAACTTCTACTTCCGTAGCTCCTGGACCTAGAATTTGATCTCGATCTGTAACAGAGCCACAGCAAAAACTATAATCCTTAGGACTTGGATGTTAAAAATGTAAAATGGGGGCAACAGCGAATGGATATCACAGATGAAAGATTTGGCAGCCACTTCAGAGATAAGAGAGAAAGCTTAGTTATTTAAAATCTTTTGTCAATAATGTGGAACCAAAAGTTTGCAAATGATTACTTATTTATACTTACAAGGTGGAGAAATGGTGCTGGGTCCACACCATTTCGCGGGGAAACAAAGCCAAGAAATACCAAAAATTAAAATTAGAGTCAAAAATAAATTTTTAGAACTCTAATGCGCACCAGTATGAAACTGGGGGGGAGAGTGTTCAGCTCAGGCAGTTTGCAATGGAATATGTGTGGAATATATGTGAATGTTTCCCCGCGAAATGGTGTGGACCCAGCACCATTTCTCCACCTTGTTAAATACAGTTTCGGGCCACTTTTTAGTGTTTAATTTTTTAATTTATACTTACAGTAACAAAAATTGACCTATGTACTTGGATATTTATCATTTTCAGTTATGAAATGGGAGTTTTTCCGATCGGGGGTCATATTGGTATTAGCTGTTCAAATTTGTGGGCTTGACAGTCTGAGAATTCAGAAACAAAAAATCGATCATGTCTTAAATACATGTTGCCTGTAGTCCTCATTTAAAATTTTCTGACTCTCCTTGATGAAACTCCTACTTCAAAACTAACGTATCAAGGATTAATATCACTAGGCATCAAGTTTCTTCGTTTCAAGCTACATACAAGAGCTATTGGGGAAACTATGATGGATCACTAGACCATGAACGAATTTTAATATGCGCATACATTTTTCTGAGGCTAAATGACGCATAGAACATGATGCGCACTTTAAAAACTCAAAAAAGTAACTTAGAAACCAAGTAATACGCAGTTCAAGAAACACAAATTGAAAATACTACTGTTTCGCACCAAATCAAATGATGTCATCTGGCACCAATCAAAAGCAAGCACAGGCTTCTACAACTTCCATTACATATCTTTCTACTCCTCGTCTATGAAAAAAGTATGAAAGTCGAAACTACATCTTCAGAATCAAAGGATTGAATATCATTCATGTTACCCATAGTAAACAAGCAACAATTCCACATTGAAATATATTTTATTTTAACAAATATCAGGGGAAAATGAGAAGAGATAGCAATTTGACTTCCGTAGAACATCACTAACATCACTACCATCACTCCCCCCCCCTCCACCATTCTGGCGCATTTAAAATTCCTTTCAGTCTTTGAACTTTTTAAAATCAGGCTAGGGAAAACCAACTCCCGGGAGGGTTTACGAAAGAGTTGATGTACAATAGGGTGGAGCGTTTTTGGGCTTTTTTTTTATTTTGAAAATGGACATAGCAGAGTAGTTGTGAAATGGTCTAAAAGTAACGCCTGAATTTTCCTGAATTTTTTCGTCAACGTTTAGGCCTCCCGGATTGACGTTGACGTCAAAATTAGCGGAAAATCCGGGTTTTTTGACGATAACTTGGCAACAATGGCAAATACGACAAAAATGCATAGAATCAGAGTTGTTGGAAATTAAATTTCCGACAAATCACTTTCTTATCATTTTTTCTGTAAGTGCAACCGTTTTAGTGTAAAATTCGAAAACCCGTATTTTTCCGAATATTCGGCACAAATTCTCGTTCAGTCCGGGAGAAATACGGTAGAAATACGGGAGAAAGAGGGCTAACTCGGAACAAATTGCGTGATGGACTTTTCTTACAAGAATACCATCATCGGATTGGCCTGAATAACACAAAACATACAAAATGTTTTCCACGGCTCCACCGCGGAACACCCCTTAAAATTCCTAAAATTCAAAAAGGCGGCCGTGTTTAGATTATCAAGCATCAAGGTAATTTAAAATGTGCATCTCGTGTGGTATGAGGTGTCGTTTCCTATGTCTTTTTAGTCGTAAATTTCAAATATAGTGTTAAAAAAAGCCCCTGGTCAAACGGGGTGCATCAAATCCAGGATGGCGGCCAACTTTGAACGGCGGGAGGGTATGTTTGTCCCATATGCCCTCACATTCCCCCCTCATAGTTCGTCCTGGTACCACTTCTTCGCGTGATAAGTCAAGTGAGGTATTAGTTCCTTAAAGAATATCGACGGCGAAATTCCCAAACCAGGTATCTCGTTTGCAATGTTTGAAAATTCCAAGAATTCTGCAGCATCGCAAACCGATACATGCTTTGGTTGTTTCATCGTAATTTTCGTCGTAGATTTCCAGTATGACGTGATGAATACCACCTGGTCAATCGGGCTGCACAAAACTCAAAAAAGACTGATAAGTTTGAAGGGTGGGAGGACTTAAACAAGTTAAATAATGACGCAATGAGTGAAGTGAAGTATTATTCCCTATGTAATTTTGGTAAAATGTGAAGTAAAAAATTAAGTGGAAAATGAATGGTCAAACAGGGTGTCTCAAATCCACGACGACTGCCTGTAAAAGGCAGTAGTGTTAACCAGAGGTGTAGGTATAATGCTGGAAGGCAATATCTGAACGGTGTTTGCGTGCAACATAGTTCCTTTTAGCATTACATCTTATTTTAAAATATGTCTTATTATACATCTTCGAAGATAAGGTACCGATTTCCGTGTAAGTAATATCCGCGTTTAAAATCCTTTTATTCCCCCCGAGAACCAAGACTCTTTTTATTCGAAATGTGAATAAAGCAAATTAGGTCACGTGAGAATCATGACGAAATAAAAGAAAAAATCAATTTTATCTAAAATCTAAAGTTGACGACATCACTCCTCAAAAAATATACTGAGGAACATCATCCGGTGGTATGAATCATCAATGTTTTCATTTTTCATTCGTTTTCTTTTAGTAATAGGTAACTCAATTGCATGTAAATATCGCTTATTCAGCAGTCTCTCTTTGAATTGTACATTTATTTTGTAGTGCCATTTTATTGATTCTTCATATGGAGATAGTCACCATCCTCGATTTCAGCTCTTACTGAGGAGTAATATTAATTGTGAACATTTAAGAAAACTGTTAGATTTATTTAAAAGATTTTTTACTATCACACTTTGAAATTTTCTGTTCTGTCCTTCACATTTAGAAGTCATCCACTTATCCCATAATCGGGAGACCCCGCACGATTTTGGGGCATTTTCTGTTGTAAATTTAAAATTTACGAATAAAATTATCTAAATTCATCGCAAAATTGTGTCATCTTAAACCCTAGTAACCTGCGGATTCGGCCTGGATTGCCAGTTTTACGCCTCCTGACCAGATGTCATTCATCGGATCATAGATGAGGCTTTATAAAAGACAATTTAATTTTGAACCTCTAATTAAAATGCTAAACCAATATTATCCAGAGATTGTTACCTTACTTTCAATTTAAAATGTAATACACTAATCAAACTTTATAAGGTACCCTCCCGCCGTTCAAAGTTGGCCGCCATCCTGGATTTGATGCACCTTGTTTGACCAGGGGCTTTTTTTAACACTATATTTGAAATTTACGACTAAACAGACATAGGAAACGACACCTCATACCACACGAGATGCACATTTTAAATTACCTTGATGCTTGATAATCTAAACACGGCCGCCTTTTTGAATTTTAGGAATTTTAAGGGGTGTTCCGCGGTGGAGCCGTGGAAAACATTTTGTATGTTTTGTGTTATTCAGGCCAATCCGATGATGGTATTCTTGTAAGAAAAGTCCATCACGCAATTTGTTCCGAGTTAGCCCTCTTTCTCCCGTATTTCTACCGTATTTCTCCCGGACTGAACGAGAATTTGTGCCGAATATTCGGAAAAATACGGGTTTTCGAATTTTACACTAAAACGGTTGCACTTACAGAAAAAATGATAAGAAAGTGATTTGTCGGAAATTTAATTTCCAACAACTCTGATTCTATGCATTTTTGTCGTATTTGCCATTGTTGCCAAGTTATCGTCAAAAAACCCGCATTTTCCGCTAATTTTGACGTCAACGTCAATCCGGGAGGCCTAAACGTTGACGAAAAAATTCAGGAAAATTCAGGCGTTACTTTTAGACCATTTCACAACTACTCTGCTATGTCCATTTTCAAAATAAAAAAAAAGCCCAAAAACGCTCCACCCTAATGTACAACATTATGGTAGTAGCACTATATGTAACTTTTTGTTTTGTTGAGTAGCCAAAGCTATGGCCAATCCTATCGATGGCCAATAAAATACTTCATTTTTATTTTAATGTGAGTTAACAACTTCATTTTAATCCATGACACTGGCTACCCAACAAAACAATAAGTCCCTGCTGGAGGGCTTTGAGAGGAAAGGGGACTTTGACGGATGGGTGTCGCAGAGCCCTGTGAAAGCCGCTTTTGCGTATGGTTTAGGGACCCATAATTTTTTACAGGCAATACAAATATTTGAGAAGAAAATTGTACCTGGAAGAAGATCGAGAAGAGGTGCTGGTGCTGGAGCTAGAGCTATTAGATGAAAATGAGGATCTGGAACTGGGTCGATAACTAATGGGTGTCCTACGACCATTTCGTCTCGTGGAATTTTTGGAAGCACTTGAGGATCGGGAGGAACGACATCTGTAAAAATATGGTTTGAATACATTAACATACTTTAACTATCAATTACTAACTTCCTTACATCTTCTTCAAGAAACCTTTCAAAGAGAGGAACCTAAACATTTTTTGGATCAAAATGAATCCAGGCCTATTACTTAAAATTAATTTTCAGCAGTAAAATCAATTTAAAGATATCCCCTGCAATCTTACATTTGTTGCAGGACCGCGAGAGTGCAGGACTCGATAAAGGATTATTTAAAAAAACCAAATTAAAATTACTTTTGATGAAGATAAAACTGATTTAATTTCAGTACGTGAATTCTGTTAAATGCAGAATTTTTATGTCAACGCTGATACTGTGCGTTAAAGTTGCAATGAAGTAGTATGTCTTGAGGGGGCACACTGGCACACCCCCTGACTTAAAGGGGCCATATTTTGGCTTAGGATGAACTGATTTGGGACTTTCAGGTATTAATTTTAGTAATACAATTTCTGGTTTTAATGAGATAACTACAAAAATATCAGGAACTTTGATTTTTGAGGTCACAGCCCCCTATAAACTTCTCAAAAGGTAAACGGGAGGCCTTGGGACTATAAACTTTAGATCCCCTGAAGTGAATTACTTAATCATCTCCCCATATTGTCTTTGCAAAACTCAAATTTGGCGAGAAAAAAGCTACAGCGAGTGGTCTGGATTACTATATACAAATCTGCTATCAAAAAATGCTCGAGTTACAATGATTCTTCTTCTGGCGGATTTTGGCTTTAACAGCATCAGTGCTTTATTCATACGATTTCAATGCAGAGAAAATTTCTGAATTTACGTTAACATGTACAGTGAAAATTTTGAAGCACCTTTCCCTTCCTCTGAGGCTTTCCCAGGAAAGTATCAGAGACAGGGACAAAATGCATGAGGGAATTCTTGGGAGCAGGAAAGTTTATGTTTAGATCCTAATGGGTGCTTTATTCCTTTTTCCTGTCGGGTAGGTAAGAAACCATTAAAGCCAATATTTTCAATTTCACAGAAACTGCAAAGTTTTGCTGAACTGATAGTTTCCTCCATCCCATCAACTCCCTGCGAAGTTAAATTTTTAAAATTTTCTTTAAAAAATCGAACTGAAACATGAATTGCAGATTTTTTGGAATGCTTTGATAAAAAAAAAAAAAAAAAAAAAAAAAAAAAAAAAAAAAAAAACAAGTCTACAAGTCTGTTCAAAAGAGCTGAAAAAGAAATAAAGTTGATTATAGTTGATTCAAGATTTCTCTTTAAGCATAATTAAAGCTATCTTGAAAGCAAGCAACAATCAGACTTAATTATTTCCTTCCTCAAAGGTAACTTACTTTTTTGAATGTTCAGAGCTGCGGTCACTATCATTACTACTGCTGGAGCGTCTTCGCTTATCATTCCTTTCTTTGGAAGACTTGGAAGGTTCTTGAGCAATTTTCTTGACACCTCTTCGGTTATTCTCCTTGGTACCTGGTCTGTCTCCACTGGTCTTTTTGGAATCAGCTGAAGAACTCTTGGTACTTTTGGCATTCTTGACATCATTGTTTTCTTTGTTTTTTTTCACACCATCTTGTACTTCATTACTCTTTTCCACTACTGATGTACTTTTTTTGGACTTTCCTGTAGCTTCACTTCCCTTGCCCGAATTTTTTTCATCTGTTTTTGGGATTTGTTCTTCAATTTTCTTTTCCATACACTCTTCGATACAAGTAGCCATTTCTGAATGTTCATCGCTCTCTTCCGAGGTTTTTGAATTTTCAGCTCTTTCCTCCACTTCAAGAACTGCTACATCATTGCCAGAGGATGCTGTTTCAATAACTTTCGGCTCTAAATCTGAAAATAAAAAAATAAATAAATGGCTTAAATTAGCAAGGCAAAAAAAGAAGAGTAAATTCTTTTTGGTTTTTCATTTTCTACCTGATGGTTGCCGACTTAACAATTGATACCCATAAGAAAGATGGGACGTATAACTATCAGTTAAAGTTGCAATTTGTCTAGGGGGTTTTTTATGATGAATTATTTGCAAATTATTTTAGAGGTAAGCAGTTGAATTACACCTATAACCACTATTAATCCATTTAGAGCTGAAAATTAATTGGGCAAAATTAGTGTTCTGACAAAATGCAGTCAATTTCTTGAAAATGATTCCCTTTGTCCACCAAAAATTTAACTCAAATTGAGTAGGTTTAAATTTGTGAAAATAGTGATTAGATAAAAAAAAAAGGCCAACATACCACTAACTGATAATTATACCTTGGTTTGCTCCCGATTACGTTGGTTTTTATTGAACGATAGCTACTTCGATCGCATCTCGATCATCTTCAGGTCACTGTTACAATACATAAGAAACTTGGTCAAAATAGCTATCGGCCAGTAAAAACAGACTCAATTGGGAAAAAACCAAGATATAATTATCAATTACAATGCATCCCAATAAAAAGGCTACAAATTTAAATTAAACATACCCTTAATTTCATTCAGAAGATCCTTGTATGATCTTCGGTTCGCAGGGTCGTTGCTGCTGTCTAAATCAATAGGTGACACTTCCCACTTGGCAATCAATAAGACTCCTGGATCGAGGCGTTTTCGTTGTCGATCACGGTATTCAGATAGGTTCAGTTTTCTTTTCTTTCCTCTACCAGCTTTCTCATGATGACCATCATCTTTTTTCATATCCACCAAAGCGAGGTTTTCCGTAACAGCAAAACCCTCCTGATTCTGGGCATTGACTTCTACACTGTTGTTTGAGGTAGTCGAAATTTCTTCGGTATCTTGTTTGGCGTCAAATGCATCAACAAATTTGTCCATATCTAATTTACTCTCATCATTCAATTCCGGCTGTTTGGTGTTATCCTTGCATTGACTTTCTGATAAGGATTTGTTTTCATGACTGTCACTCATATCCTTGCTTTCTGTGGGAACTTTGGTGCCTATCAATGAATTTGTTGTGCTTGTCTCTACCTCTGAAGTGCAAGATGATTCTGCATTGTGTGAAACTTTAGTATTAGTGGATGACAATTCACCTACGTTTTTTGGGCTCGGTGAAGGTGGGATGCTTGCACTCTGCCTGTTAGAATTAATGGATGATTCTGGCTGTAGTCTATTCTTCCGTGAGCTACTTTTCTTTAATTCTTCTTCGGACGCGGAATTTGATATCTGTGCTTCTTTCTTTTTTTCATGATGAGAGAAAAGAGTTCCCCGTTGGGGCTGCCCGGGATCTGCCATCTTTGTATTCCTACTTATCACATTTGAGTTTATTTGAAATGGTAAATTTGAATCAGACTTAAAATTATTCTTAGAGCTAGTATTTACACAGTTGGCACTCTTTAATGAGTCTTTAGAATGACTAGTTGATACATACTGGGCACTCTTGTGAAGTTTCTTATTTTTCCGATTCAATTTCTTTACATTCCTGTATTTATCTGCTCTCATACATGTTCCTCGTTGAGTGTTGGTTTTCTTTGAGTTCAATTTGTCCGTCATATAAGGTTCAGTTGAAGACTTATCTTTCTGTTTTGTGCTGCTAACTTCAAAACTTAACGGTTTAGAAACATTGTTGTCTTTCCGTTCTTTATCGATAATTTTATTTGGCTTGTTAGCTTCTCTTGAAGTCAACAATTTTTCAGAGGACAGTTTGGTCTTACCTGAGGAGTGAAAATTTTGTAACTCGACCAATTTGGAGGAACTACTTTTCTCATGATCAGAATCATCGCAGAGTGCCTCTTTCGACGAGTCTTTGTTCACAGTCGCTTTGTTTAGGAGTGAAACCAAGACTGGCTTCTTCTGGGATGATTTCTTTTTTGCAGGTACATCAGTTTGAGCAATTTTATTATCACAATAAGATTCCTCTATCTTAACGCTAGTCTTGCCGGAACTTTTTGTTGCACTACTTTGAACAATGTCTCCAGGCAAGATATCTTTACTAAAGGCAGTTTCAGTATCACAGCTTTTGGATTTGTTTATTTTAAGAGAGGTCGTGCTCAGAGCATCAATTGCTTCTGTTTTTGGCATTCCCCCACTTCCTATTTTGGAGCTATCTCTTGCTGTCTCTTTCAGGTTGGTGGCATTGTTTGTGCTTTTACCACAAGCGAGTTTGTTGGCAAAAAAATGGATAGATGTTGGCTCGATCTTATTAGGGACCCTCTTCGTTTCATAGGATTCAGAGGACGATGAGATGAATCCACTTTTGCTATTATTTGAACAATAGTCATGGTCTAAAAGGATTGTTTCGCCTGAGGATCCTGTAGTAACCTGTAAAACAAAAAACATAATTACTACATTGGATGCGTTTGAAAAATGAGAATCATTTTAGTTCCAGAAATAGGCACACAAATAGTTCGAGGATAAAATAATACCAATAGTTCCCTTCCTCTCTCAAAGGAAAACAATAGTGACTCACCCTCAGAATATTTTGATGGAGAATGGAAATGGAATTTGGACGTATTTCTGTTAAACAGAACTAAGCGCCAAATTGAGTTCCTTTTGAGGATTTTAGAATCCCGGATAGCGCGGTCTGTCAAATGGAACTAAGCGCCATGGAAAAGCATTGCGAGTATATGACGGAACGAGCATCGCGTTCCGCAACAACCGCCGATCCCAGCCCACCTCTCCTTTCCTCCTCCTATGGCGCTTAGTTCTGTTTGATAGAAATACGTCCATTTCATGGGGGAAAAGGGTCATTGGAAGTGCTCAGCAAAATACAGAGATGAAGAAAGGCTGTAATATTGGAGGATGTGAAGAGTTCAAAAATATCGACCTTTGTGATATTCCTGCATGGAATTCGGGGTGTCAAATTTCCTGAGAAACTTGTTTTAGTTGGTGCTTTAGCAGAATTCTTTAAACATGTAACTGTCTCTTTCCTCCTTACAATCTCACCTCAAAACATCATACTTAGAATTTAGTTTGTATAAGTTATGAATTATAATAAATGCTCAATAAACATTATACACATACATTACAATATACTCCATATTTTTACAGTCTTGGATTGGGAGGACTACATAGTTAATAAATTATTTTGCATCATAAATTAATCTTGAATGGAACCCAACTTCTTAGAAAGAGAAGAATTGAAAACAAAATATTAGGATAGAACAGAACAGTTACGAACTGGCAAGATGCTGTTAGCAAGACAAGTTATCGTTTAAGAGAATTGACTCGCGTTAAACAAGCAAAATTAATGCATAACATGTTGCGTTTGATGGGGCAAAAACTAACACTGCAAAGAAAACAAACACGAAATAGTAGAGGGCGAAAAAGGTAAACCAATGAAAATCACAGACCAGCTTAATTAACTTGTTCCTGTTCAGGGTCCTCCCTGCATCTAGCATTCGGTTTGAGCTACTTTCATGTTTTTTGCCTGGGATAGCTTGAGCAATGGGGATTTTATGCTTGCGAGCATTAAGCTAGAACAAAAATTCGAAAAACAAAAAAACTACAAGCTGCTCAAAAAGGACAGTCAAAATCGTAAAAAAGGGCTTCCCTTTGCTTAACAAAATAATTGGCATTCAAGAAAATAGCAAAACTTGGTTTGGTTGTTTCTTCAACTTTGTGACAAGCACACATTCAAGCTAATGTTTACAATTGGGATCATTCTGCTGAGGAGATGAAGAAGTTGTCACCAATTTTCTTAAATAATCAGTTCTTATGACAGCTCCACGACTTTAAATAAAAAAAAAGATCGAACCAAAGTGGATTCATAGTCCAAAGAGTAAACTAAAAAGAAAAGTAATCAAAAAAAAAAAAAAAACAAAGAGACACAATTTGGGTTTAGGTTGGCAATTTCAAATCGATTTTTCAAACCGGGAAATAATGAAATCAGGAAAACGATTCAAATCAAACAATTTTGTCAAATTTTGAAAGTAGTGACAGCGTTGATGTTATATTTGGAGATTTATAATTATTTCGATCACAGAAATTATCTTCAAGAAAAATTGATTATTTGGCACTGAGTTTAAGATAGTGCCAATTTTTTGGTCAAAATCAAATAGATTCACTTGAATTGATCTTTTCTCAATGATCCATCACAAATATGGATGCATATGTTTTAGAGGCTTCATATCTATGATTTATTAATATTATCATCATACTTGCATTATTAAAACATAGTTCAGGCAAAAATTTTAAAGCCGAATTGAATCCTATGCCTACTTTGGGTTAAAGCCTCTTGAAACATTGTCTATCAACAACATTGTCAACATTATTTTAGGGGCTGATTATTTTGCTTCAACTTTTTAGACCGCTTTTTTTTAAAAAAAACCTCTGCAGTGATGCACTGTCTATCATTGAACAAGGCTAATTTGAGCGGAGGGCTAATTTCAAGTTGAGCTGAACCAGAAGGAGAAGAAATGTACTGGCTCTAAAGTTGATGCTTAAAATAAATCTATCAGTAATTACCTTAGTTGAAGTGGAAGACTCAATTGAAGACTCTCTAATAATTCTACAGTTATTCAATTTGGTACAGCTATTTAAAGAGTTAGGTCTTTGAGCGGCATTAATTATAGTCTCGATAGGGCTTCGTAAATGCTTCTCTAAAAGTGAGCACGGCTTAACAGGTTTGGCTGCGAGGTTAGACCTCACTGGTGAAGAAACAGATGGCTGGAATGACTGACGCCCACTTTTGCGCTCCAAGGCATCTGTAAAATTGACCATGAGTTGAAAGATTTCACAAGGAAAATATTGTGTATTTTTGCATAGTTTGCTAGTAGTTTTGTAGATTTTTTATTTTGTAAAATTTTTCCACTGGTTGTTCATAGTGCACTGAAGAAGATCGCAGTTTGTAGGCGGTCGAAACGTTTGCTTTGATTCTTGTAAGTTTTATATTATTTCTCATCTATGTACATGTAGTTTGAAATAGAACTTGTTTATTTCGGCTTGTAGCTCGATTTTTTATCAATTACCATGTTCTAGGTTCACATGTTCACGGCTTAGCCGGCCAAATTAGGCAATAAAATGTTAAATATGCATCAGACGACTTTCAATTTAACAACATTTTTAGTAAGATCATGATTTTCATCTGCCCTATCAAAATACATACATATTCTGACAATTTTTTTTCTTCTTAAAAAATATCATTTTGTCTCAGCAAGCCTTGATTTGAAGTTATGACAATTTTGTCCACCAGCAACTGGATGAAAGGCTACTTTTTATAGAAAACGTAGACAATATTCCAGATCATATATCATTGCAGTAATGTTAAAGCTTGGAGGTTATGACAAGACACACATCAAATACAGTTCTCAGCCAAGTAGGACCTCCTGTGGTGTATTAGTCGTAGCGTTTGCTCCATGATCGGGAGGTCTAGGGTTTGATTCCTTACCAGGTGATCCGAGTTTGATGGTCTCAAACAACGAGTATCTGGAGCTGACTTGATTAGAGACAGAGGGGGATGGGACGAAGATTATCCCTTGTGGGATATTTGAAATATTTAAAAAAAAAAAAAAAAGTACATGCAGCACCCAGAGATGTACCTGACAGCAAGGTGCCACCACACTCCTGTTGAGTAAGTCTTGAGTCAGATACGCTGCAAAGATTCCAAAAGTGAGACAAAACTGTCATCCTCTCAGAGTCTTCACCTCAATTGCTGTGCTCATCAATTGGGATAAAACCATTATGGATGAAAGGACACTACTCCGAAGTGATATGGAAAAGGCGTAAAATTTTAGCTTCAAAAAACAATGAGCAAGATTTAACTGCACTGACAGCATATTTTGTTTTAAGGACAACCTTAAAATAAAGACAATTTCGTTTCGTTCAATGGAAGTTGTTGACAGAGATTTTACTGGGCCATTCTGGTTCATCCTCTGTGCTTACATCTATCTGACCAGGTCTACAATTTTGCTTTTAAGTATTATAACAAAAACTGTAAGCAAGCTGCTGGAGTAGTAGATATTTTCATCATTAAATCATACCGCTAGATATGAAAATACAATTTTGGACTGTAGCGTATGTTAAAGGTTTATTACCTGAGGTAGTATCCACAGTTTCCACATCAATATGACTTTCATCTTCTGTTGGAAAAAATTCTGTTCGCGAGCTAAAAAGAGAGAGATGAAAAGTATTAATTGTTAGCAAAACCTCCCAACAAACATTTACTATGTACGAGGGTTGTTCAAAGAGGAAGATAACATACTTTCTTTCTATAGAACTCCTGACGTTGAACAAATTATGAGTAAACAGCTGAAAACCTGATCTTGCCTTCTTGGCTTCCAACCGGTTTATTGAATTTTGTATTTCGACAAAACAGTCTTTCACGGCCATTTCAAACAAAACCCTGCCATAATTTCTTCGACAACTATTATAGCTACACAAATTCTAAATATACTAATAAAATGCATACAGTCCCAACTTTGAAATGATGTCAATTGAAATTTCATTTTGGATTTCCCTGACATACGAAATGAATAAATTGGCTTTGATTGCACAAACCAACATATTTAAGGATTTGATTAAAATGTTGGAAAAATGCATGAAGCACTCAGATTTCTCTGATTCAAGACCAATTTTCCAGACATTCTCCTGATGACGGCGTATTTCCCATTATTTTTCAATTTTTACTGATGGTAGATACCGTGTTGGATACAAAAATTCCTGTTATTTGATTTGGTCAGGAATTGAGCCATCTGAAAATAGTCTCAAAAACTTTCTGCCAGTTCATCAAAAAAAAAAAGGGTATGATGGTAAAAAGTATATTCTAATAAGCTGAAACTGTTGTCCTTAATCTAATTTTTTTTTAACCTTTGGATATAGACTGATTTAGTGACTACGTCACTCAATATAATATGGAAGTCTTGGTTCAAACCAAAACAAACATAACCTCATGTACAAATTCTTCCAGAGTTGATTGTGTTAATACATCACAATTTAGTCATTGACAGGTCATAAATCAATTAGGGACTCATAAAACACAAGAAATTTCGATTGCAAGAAACACTTGGACGCATTTTACCACAATGGCGTGAATCAGAAACAAGGTTATGTGTTTGTTTACATTTTAACCATGACGTAGCCTCTGAATTAGTCTATTCCAGCATTGCAATTTGTCTAAATTTTGGGCCCTCTACAATGACTAATTGCCTAGAATCATCTCATTGGTGTGATGACAGCAACAACTCAAACTGGACTCAAGAAAGCAAACGGAAATCCTTCCAAAACTATCGGAACCTAAGCTAAAAGAAGTCATTTACCTATGAATAGCTAATGAAGCTCAAAATATACTTACTAGGAGTCAGCTAGTGCATCGTGTATACTATCACAAAAGTTTTGATCAGGATCTTGTTTGATGGATAGAAAATCTGGGTATCCTGTTAATTCATCAGTTGCTGAATTCCAGGAATCTAAGTTGTTAAAATCTTCTGCCTGCTTAAATGAAGGATAAAAATTAGCACTCTCAGTTACACAATCAGGCACATAAAAAGTGAACATGATGTTAAAAATTTCTGGATTAAACATCTTATAATATTTTATATACAAAGGAAGTGCTTTGTTCTAAGTAATGTGGTTCATGAAATACATGATATACATATATTTACAAATTATTACATATACATATATTTGATTCATAGTGCTCCTTACAGTTAAAAGTAACACTTGAGTTGATTACAGCCTTGTTGCTCACTTCACTGGAAGTCTAGTAGTGGCAGTAGATAGTTATTTTAGTCTGTTCTATAGTGCTCCAGAAATTCTGAGACAATGATGCCAGTCATACATATGTGATGAGTGGACTTCTGCATAAATCATTATTTGCTTTCATTTTTGAGGAGGAAAAAGCTACTTTTCAATCTTTAAAACCTCAACATTCCTTTCTGTTCCGTTATTTAATAAACACTGAGGCAAAAACCTGTGTGCCTGCAAATTGCATTGATCTTCTGAGGAATGAATCTTATTGAATGTGCATGGGTAGGCGTTAAAATTTCCCCAAAAACCCTAATCGTTGCATTCTCATTACTTCAGGTCATGTTCAGCCCCTCTAACTTAAATTAAAGTTGATCTGATGTCATGAATCAAAGCTTATGAGTTAAGTTTTAAAAACTCTTGTAATTATGAATCATTTAGGCAGTAAGACATCAAGATTGAATTAAACCGCAAGTTCTGCATTTCATTAGCAAAGACAAAAAAAACCAAAGCAGAAGTAATTTACCTTGAATTCTGTTGCATCAAACGCATGATCCAAGTCTCTAAGCGAAAAATCACAGCTGTCTCCTCTCAAAGAAAGCGCAGTGGGTGATAAGGATGATGAGCCATAGCTGTTGGAATTAAGAGGTATGAGTATTATGTTTGAATTACACTTGGAAAAGAAGCAAAGAAACTGATATTTACCATGAAAAACTGTGATAGACTTTAAATGCGATAAAACGAAGGAGCATATAATATGGACTGAAATCAGAGTTTTTTGGTGGTGTGACATTTTTTCAAAAATGCTTCCACTGCAGAGAATTTAACAATCTCTAAGATTGGAAAAAATTAATTCCATACATATATTACCATTCAAATAAAACAAATGAGATCACATTTTTCATGGAAAATGACAGAAAATTTTCAAACAAATATTAATATGCATGTGTTGCAGGCAAACAACCATTTGTCTGGGCAATTGGCTGTGTACCTCACTGAGCTCTGTCCCCACATATTGTTCACTACCGAAAAATACGACTTTTGGGGCGAGTCAAGTTGAACTTGCTTTGTAGAGTGACTGAGGGCACAAGCGGAAAGCTCCCATACAGGCGTGAGGGGAAGCACTCGAACCAAAACAGCTATATATATTCTGGGAGGAAAAGAGTTTACGGTATGATTAACTAGGCAAGCTGGCATATTGTATAGATGTTTGATTAGTTAAACAATTCAACATACTTTTTATTCCTCAAGAATTCATCACAGCTGGAAAAAGTCATATAATTCACTTGAATTACATAGAGATCTCAGTTGCAATACAGCTATCCTATTTTCCTTCTTCTTTGCATCTGGTTTTTGCTCCTCATCAGTTATTAGGGCTTACTTACAAAACGTAAACTTTATTGAACTGTATTATTCATCACAGTTGGAAAAAATCATGTAAATCACTTGATTTACATGGAGATCTCAGTCGCAACACAACTATCCTCCTTTTTTTCTTCTTTGCATCTGGTTTTTGCTACTTATCAGCTAATAGAGCTTATTCACAAAACGTAAACCTTAATGAACAGTAAAACTTTATGAAAACTTACTCATCAAGGGGTGAGAGCCAATAATCTGGTTGAGGAATGTCATCTTGGAAGGCTAATTCATGATCACTGACTTTTTCAAAGAACGTCCCACTCAAGTTTAGTCCGCTACCCTGAAAGACAAAGGAAAAATATTTGAACCCCTGATTCTACTTAAAATATATTTTAAAAAATAGAAAAAAAGCCTCCTCAATTCAATTGTGCTACTTTTTTTAAAATGAATTCCTAAATTTGGAACAGTTCAATTTTCCGAAATTTTCCTTGGACAGAAACCAGAATCAGAATTGATTCCAGGCTAGCCCCGGACACCCCAATAAAAATTGACAACAAATTTCATAATCCTGGAACCTTTCATCAAGCCTGAATAGAAAGCCCTGCAATTGAAGCGTAAGACTTGGTTCAAGACTGACCAAAGTGTCATCATCATAATTTAAATTGACTTAATTTTCGTAGAACTTGTCATATTCAACATGTTTTACACTTACTAAGGACCCAAAGATGATTGAGTTGCCTGGTTTTTCATTAATATTATGAGGAGGTATGTTAAGTATCAATTACTCAAGTTAGGAAATGCATACCTTGATTGCAGAGTTTCGAAACCTTCGATAGTGTTTACTTTTCTAAGAAAAACTGACTATAATAACTCCTTGAATATATTTACCTACTTACGGAGAATATTTTGGAATGAGTGAAGAGGTTTCATACATAATTTCCTGAGAAACTCTCAGTTTCCATTCTTGTTTTTATTTTCCAGCACTCAAGGAAATAATGTAGTAGCTTATAAACCAGCATGCACTTGCAATTTTAGGGAAAATTTTCTGAGGAAGAAGTACAACAGCTAGTTTACCAGCAGCAATCCACCACTTTATTCAAGGTAAAGTATACTAACCTGTGAGCCGAAATTAGAAAAGTTCTCATAATCATGAAGAAATTCTGTCTCCATATCAGATCTAAACCGGACTACCTGATATACTAATCTGAAACAGAGGAAAAACAACAGAATGATTCACTGAAAATAATGGACAACCAATGATGAATGATTTCCTACCTACTACTCTTGGAAGTTTCATATAAAACTAGAAAATGAATTGATAAATTAGACCATCGTTGTTAACGTAGCGTCAATGTTCGTTACAGCTTACCGAAATCAAAAGGAGTTAAGTTGTGAAGTATTAAAAATCAATAGCGAACAATAAAATAAGGTGAGGGAGGAAGATGGGTTAATGTACTTAAGCTTTACATGGAACGGATTTATCTTGTTTACATCATGCAATGGAATGCTAAATGAAGATTGTGGCTTAGACAACGTTTTCGGACTGATACCCTGGGGAATGCCCCATCTCAAATTAATGTATGGAATCAAACCAAATTTCCAGTACTATAAGAAAGTTATGTTAAATAGAAGTAACACTAGAACTTAATTGATGATACATCCTTTGTCAGATCATTTGATATACTTCGAAAAGTTGAAACGCAACTTCAAAGGCTATTTAATAAATCAAGAAAAATAAGCACAGCTATCGGTATCAAAATGTACGTATATTTACAGGAAAATTGAAGATTCGAAAGTTCATTGTTTGACTCCTCCGAATCTTGCAATGCCTAGACATTGACAAATCCAAGTACCCAGTAGTAACTAATAAGATTACTATCTGGATTCATAAGAAAACATCAAATGATATCTAAAGTGAAACGAATGACAGTTCATCATTCAGACACTGACCTATTTGCAAGATTACTTCAACTGCACGTCTGACATCAAAAGTAATCTATGAGGTTAGAGTCTGTTAAGTGTAATAGGTCAAAACTTCTCAAGAGAGTATTGGTAACTCATTTTGCAAGCTTGGATGCTGCAATAACAAATTCTTAGAACCTCAGTAAGCCATCTTCAAGTCAGAGGACTTGGTAGGCCCTCAGTTGAGCGGCAGTCGGAGGAGGTTGAGGCAAAGAGGGAGAAAATTAGGTGCTGATCCGAGAGTAAATGATCAAACAACAAATGTTAGGGCAAGAACGGTTATATCAGCTATGAACATAAAATTTCTTTTTGGCAGTGGACTATGGAGTTATGATAAATATTGGAGTAAACTTCAACATTCAAATGACAACTGCCAACATTGGAGGTTGCAGGGCTAATGGGCAGTTATTCATGGTTATGGCTAGTAACAGAGGAAAAGTAAGCAGATGCAAACACATACCAAATGCATACGACTGACATAAAATCCGATGGAGCACATAAATTACACGAATGTTACTGAAAATATGTTAAAAGGTTAAAGCTTATTTATAGCTCAAGAACGGAACACAAAAACCACCTTAGACAATAATCACTTCAAGAAGTTTTCGAGAGACTAAGATCACGGAAGGTAATGGCAAGTAATCACTACACTAACTTAATTATTTCACAATTTGAGTATAAATCGTATAGAAGAACGTAACGTGCGTACTGAATAGGGATGTTACTTTGTATGTAAAGGGACCCGAAAATGTGCTAATTCCACTTCCACGTGCAAGCCAAATTTATTCTTAATTTTTGTCTCACAATTTCACAACAGCAGCCGTTCTTCGGCTTGCGCTCGCATTTTACAAGAATGTGCCACCTCTTGGCGCTCTGTGCCTGTGTGAGTGTGTAAATAAGCGCGGGAATCCATGGCGGCAAACGGAAATTTGATTTGAACTTGTCCTCTTGATTTTGGCACATTTCTGGCTCTGAACTCGTTTTAAATGCCCGAAACGAGCAAATAAAAAGTAAAGTTTGGACGGTGACTTTTTATAATACATTTTTATAATATATTAAGTAAAATGATCTCAGATAAAGATGGTTTTTCCGTGTCCGTCGCTCATGGTGGTCCAAGAGTAGCGATATCTAGCCACTCTTTTCAGAACTACTTGCTCAAGGGAATTCCCAGGGAATTCCTAACCTCACTTGTGTCGTGTTGTGTTTTTCTTGTTATCAGTATCACTACTTATCAAAATCTTATCACCTGTTATCCTGACATCTCCTCGCTCGACAATTTCATGAGGAATCATTTGCATGTGTGTTTTATGTCATTTTCACATTATATTAGTGTTCGTTAAGAAAGTGTTTGTGTATATATATCCCTGTGGAAACATAAGTACCTACATTGACACTCCTTATGCGGTTTTTGCTTCTTCGTGTGTCGAAGAACTTTTTCCTTCCACCTGTTTTGCACGCCAGAACCATGGTGAAATTTTTAAATCAAGAAGAGGCGATAAATATTGACCAAGAATTGTTCAATCAGTATAAGTTTGACGTTTCCCAACTAATGGAGCTGGCTGGCTTAAGTTGTGCAACTGCGATCATGAAGTGTTATCCTCAGGAGAAAAAGGTGTTGGTCTGTGTTGGCCCTGGAAATAATGGTGGCGACGGTTTAGTGTTAGCCAGACACTTAAAATTGTTTGGTCAGAATCCATCTGTATACTATCCGAAGAGAACTGATAAAGATTTGTATAAAAATCTAACAAACCAATGTGAGAGCATGGATATTCCATTCATAGAAAATATATCTGGGGAAGAGTTGAATCAATACAATCTTATTGTTGATAGTCTTTTCGGCTTTAGTTTTAAACCTCCTGTTCGACCCCTTTTTGTTCCACTGCTAGATCTCTTACAGAAAACGAAAATACCCATCTGTTCCGTTGACATACCAAGTGGATGGGATGTTGAAAAAGGCTGCCCAGCTGAAGGTGGCATCCAACCTGAAATGCTCATTTCACTCACAGCTCCAAAAAAGTGTGCAAATTTTTTTAGAGGTACGTATCATTACCTCGGAGGCAGATTTGTACCTCCGCAGTTGGAAAAAAAATATCAATTACAGCTTCCAGCCTATCCAGGAACAGAATGCTGTGTAAAAATTAATTAAGGATCTTACCGTTTTATTTGCCATTCCCCATTGTGAAATTGGAAGAGCATGCCTTTCAATTTATGAAATTTTAAATTTCCTTTCATACCTATGTTATTTTGGAGATGGATCAAAATTGTACCTATTACTATACAGTGCTCATTTTTAAAGAATTGTTTAGAAATTCTATTTACCCAAGTAGTTGACAGTGGCGTGGCGTGATTTGCGATACATTGATTGATCTGCCATTTAAATCTATGGAAAAGGATCGATAAACAGGATTTTTGCAGCAAACACCTTAATGATCGATTCTTTACCATAGCTTCAAATCGGGGAGTATCGATATATCGCAAAGCCTGTTACGCCACTGGTAGTTGAAAAATATCTAGTAACACCCTTTTCAGCGAATATATTATGATCAGAATTTATAAACATGTCTATTGAGACACATGCCTCTTGAGCAATACTACGGAGAGTCTAAACATAGTTTTTCTTACCTCCTGAATGTAAGCACTCAATGTTTAAATTCAACCCTTGGCCATCTGTTGGTACAAGGCTGCAAAGCATCGCAATATTGCTTCAGTTGTCCAAGTTTTTGTAGTCATAGTTGAATCACTAAATACAAAAAGGGCACATGTCCAGAAAACCAAATTGTTCAGGAGACACAAAAAACTGTTTATTTTGTGGTAGATATTTTTTTGGAAAGTCGTTATGTTTAAAAAAATATCTACTACGAAATAAACAGTGTTTTGTGTCTCCTGAACAATTTGGTTTTCTGGACATGTGCCCTTTTTGTATTTAGTGATTCAGTTGTACTGGGAAATTGAGGAGAATGCTGTCATGATTTGCAGAAAATATTACAATGAAAGTCAAGTTACTTAGCTGCCAATAAACACAATCATAGCAGCATTGTGATGTTTAGGTGTGTGTAAAACTGTACCCAAGTATAGTTGTATTACTTCCTTGCAGAACAGTTGGTTGCACAACTGATTCACCTTGAGTCAGTATTTCTAGTTTTGTAGGATTTTTTTTCTTTCCTTTGAAATATGAAGTTTTTTAAATTAATGAAATAAAATAAGAGTTTTTCTGGCTGCCTGCAAATATTTAATGTCATCAGTCAAATTATTACTTGTACGTTCTTGATCGTTTATGGACCTAATATGGTTTATAGGCCTTTCACTCTTTTAAAATAAAAATATATCATTTGTATTTTCATGTGTAACCTTTATTCTAGTCCACTCTTTTTCCTCTAAATAATCAAAAGTGATACAATAGATTAAAGTCAATTAACTGCAGCAACAGTGAAATTTAAAGTAAGTTATAAGTCAAAGTGTTTATGCTTGGATCTCTCAATATTTCAATTAAAATTTCTTCAGCAAATTTCGAATTTTATAAATAAAAAAAGATTTTGTTTTGTTGGGGGGAACCAAAGGTGGTAGGTATGTTAAAATGAAGAAGCTCCTTGAATATAACCTCAGATTATGTGTTCACTTTTTTATAGCTTTCTTAAACGAAAATGTCGGTTGACAGTAGGTATTGCCGCTATTGAGTCCTTATCAGAAATTTTTATTTTTCATCGATGCTGGCAAAAAACATCTCGTTTCCAATTATTAAGTACTTCAATGGAGTTGATTAACGATGAAAATTTTGTCGTAGGTATGTAGGGAAAAAAACCATAGCTCAGCCAGAAGGCAGATCATAACGAAATTTTAACTCAGAGACCTTGTATCTCGATTCCAATGTTTCGGAACTTTATTTTATTTCTTTAAAGAAAAAAAAGCCAACTTCTAATTCTTGCTGTTTTTGCTAAATATCCCTCCAACAGAAAAAATCAGAGGAATGTTCCAGAGATTACATTGGCAAATGAAATCTTGATGGCCAAAGTGCAAAACCACATACCCTCATCGCAGTTTTCCAACATTTCTGCAAATATTTTATTTTCTGATGGGAGAGAAGCCCTTTGAACTTAATAGCTTGAAATTTAAATCGAATATTCTGCTGACAGAGAGGGAAAATTCAAGGAAGTTTTCAGAAACTCAACAATCTCTACCTCCGCGACCAGAGGTACGTCATTTTGCGCTTTGGCCATCGATTTAATGGGAAATCTGCATTGTTGCAAACATGCGCATGCATGGATTCTAGGTTCCTCCATTGAGAGGCTTGGAGGACAAGGTGTATGAGTGCAGTTTTTGAAAAAATTGAGATATTAATGATTTTAAGTACGAATAGTTAGAAGGTATATTTTGTGAAGAATTCACAACTAAAATCCAACTTTAAAGCATCAAAAAAAGAGTTTAAACTTCCCTTCTGCCATAAGGCTCCATGTAATTTTGAAACTTCAAATGCGTGTTTCTTGAAATAGCAAAAACTGTAGTTATGGGCCTTGTCCTCCAAGCCCCTTTAATGATATGTTGCCTACAGTAAGATGTAGGTGAGAATAAGGAAATTCATGGCCTTAGATAGAGAACCCTGCTATCTGAAGACTGTAGCATTGAAATAATCGTAGCGCTCTTACTTAACGTTTTCTTTATTGTTACTGGATACATCTGGTAGATTTCTGAAAAAGGACTTGAGGAGTGAGAAATAGAGCAGGAAAGAATGTGCCTCTGCAGTTTTTATTTTTGGCAGTAAGCCAACGATTTCTTGTTTTTATTTTTTGCCCTATTAATTGAGGGGATTAGTATTAAAGATAATTCAGACCTCTTAAGTCCTCCTTTAAAATTTCCAAATACCTACACCCAGTCAAGAAATTACTTGTTTTGCTTTATTTTAAGAAACTGGAGAAAAAGAAATACTACCAAAATTATATAAATAAAAATGTTTATTACTTTTAAAATCATAATAAGACAAAAATGTACACACATTTTGTCATTAATTGGTTATTTATGCTTGACAGAGATTATAAATTAAATTAAACATTTTTGGCTTAAAATTTTATGAACATACATACATACATATTGTTCTATAAATACACTTAACAATCAATGATAATACATGTCTTAGCAGTCTGAAAAGAAATTGGGTACGTAAAATGAAATTTTGAGTTTGTTCCTTATGAGCTACAAGTCATGACATCGATGTGGCACAACGGTATACTGTACAGTCTATTAAATCAGAGCAATAGTTCCTGTCCGGTTTGAAATGAAAACAAGATGTAATTAGCACTGGATATTTTAAATTGTGCGCACTGGAACTTGAAAAATACTATGGTTGATAGGTACTGAGCAACAAGAAATCCTGTTTTCTATGCAATAAGAGGGAGCTCTTCCCGCCCGGCAAGTGGTTGCCTGAAGTAGATGCGGAAATGTTGTCACAATGTAACTGCCAAAAATAATGTTGCGGCAACGTTGCAGCAACGTTGTGGCAATGTTATTTTTGGCCGTTGCCGGACGGGTTGAGCTTTGTATGTACAAAAAATCTCAGGTTCCTGACACCAAGGGGCAAGACCCTTCCCCCTTCTAATAAAGGTTCTTTTATCCTTCTCCTTCCCTCTCCAAGAGCAAAATTATGAAAAAGGTACTTGATCTTTTTTTTTCATAGAAATGTAGATACAATTGATCAATCTTATCCATAGGGTTCTTTTAAAGAATGGTAGGTGACTACAGCATAAGTGTCTTCAAAATCTAGCACCAGTAAACGAAAAACGACTACCTGTGTGTACTAACAAAATAGCTCAGCTTTGAAGCAATTGAATGAGCCAAACGCTCTTAGCTTTATGAATGCCTGGGTATCTATTTTCTTTTTTGCCCCTTTTCTCTGCATGATTAGTAGATGCTCACTGAGGAAAACCACCGAGTTTATCAGCTTTCAGTATCGAAGTGTGCCACATCCATTCGTAGACTGCGGACTCAGTTAGGTCTGAGGCATCCTTGCTCACGAGACTGATACAAAGAAGGGGATTTGGCCGAAAAGTGTATTCCTGATGAAAAATATCTGAAGTTTCATCATCTGCAGAGAATATTTAGGCGTCGCTGAATTCAAGTCCACAGATAATAATGTAGGTAGAAAAGATGTTAAACCGTCAGCAGCTGCTGGACATTTTAGATTTCCCTTCAAATTGACTTTTCTCTTGGTGCAGCTGGTGTCTCTCAATGGTAAAAACTGCTAAATTTAATGAGGATTAAGTTATGATCACCAAAGAGGAAAATCAAAAGTTCATGGTGTAATTTTGGCCACTACATAATTACAGAATAATAATGGCCGGTAACTGAGAAGCTAGGAAAACAATACCAATACATTCGTTTTGTAGGTAAAGAACATCTTGAGCCTCAAGACCATGGGCCCTTGACCTGCATGAGATGGCGTCAGCTGAACTATTCTTTAAATCTCTCCTGTAAAATAACCGAAGAGTTTTACCATTCTATAGTAAGTGTTTACATTAGAGAACAAAAAAAATTAAAGCAACCAGGATATCTTCCTTTCAAGCACTTGATTTAATCCCTAATGTCTATTTTAATATACACTCAATACAAAGTTGTTAATTTTTACAGAATAATGTACAGATCCTCACTTAAGAAGTTTTATAACATTTGACGCATCTTCCAACTTTAAGTGTTTTGTTGTATCAAGTATTTACAAAAATTTTGATAAAATATGGAAATGAACCAAGAATAAGCTGCCTGAAGGAAAGGCAGCGTCCTTGTTAAAAGATGTTATCCCTCAAAATAATAACCAAAACATTTTGACCGAACTGACCTAAAAGTATTAATAAATAAAATTGGCTGGAGACCAGATTGAGACGGATTTGTCAGCTTTCGTTTTTTTTTCTTTCTGCATTTTCTGCAGACTCTGGACATGATTGGAACTACACAATGTTACCAGAAAAGTCCGTATAAGTGTCTCCCTTCATTTTTCATTCTCTTTTATTGGTACTTAACAGGTTTTTTTCCAATGGCATGGCATGCTTTGTGATGCATCAAATGATCTGCCATTTAAATTTATGGAAAAGGATCGATAAACAGGGTGTTTGCAACGAATGCCTTAATAATTGATTTTTTACCATAGCTTAAAATAAAGAAATATTGATAATTGATCATTCACGCCACACCACTGGTTTTTTCCATTGGTATTCTTGTAGGATTCTAACACTTTTACTTAAATTCTGGTCAAGTAGAACACAAATCATACAATTAATGTCATTTGTGATTTTGTAATTTAAAAATTTTTTAAATTATAAAATGATATAGCATTTTTTAGAGTGACTTTCCAAATTTCATGTTGTGTGAATTATATTTCCTGAGTGTGTTACCTGTATAAAGAGAAAAGATAAAACGGAGTGCTCCAGTTAGCACCTTTTTCAGTTCTCTATTGAATCAATTTACTTGAAAATGTTTAATGTCTATTGAGGTACCTAGCTTAGAATAAGAATTTTTTGGTACTCATTGGTTAGAGCTGGAATACCATGTGCAAAAATTCATTAAGATAATTACTTAAATGAAACTTAAACCCAATCGAATCCACAATTTTTACAGTGCATTTAGTGAATCGTGGTACTGCATCCATAAGTTGGTACTTAGAAGGATAATTCTGATAACAGCACATTAAAGATATATACTTAATAGTTCCTTCATGCTGCACAAATACAAGTAGTGACACAGTAAGAAAAAAAAAGAAGAAAAAAAACCATACAAAGAAATGAAAGTAAGAACAAGAAGATAATTAATGTTACAATGGCTGGTATCATTTTTAAGTTCTATTCATAAAATAAAAATTTTAAAATAGACAAAACAAGGTCCTGATAAACGCAGATTCTAGCTAAAGAATAAGACTTCCATTTAAAAGGACGACTAAAAGTGAGAGAATAAAAATTCTAAATAAAATATTAAACTCTTCACAGAGCAAAATAATATATAATCTTATCAAAGCTGATTGTGAATTGAAACACATAGCAAAGCCATCTGATAAAGAATTAGGATGGTTCGTTTCCTATTCACTGAGGTAACATCTACTTTTAATTTCACTGCTTAATGATACGTTTTTACATTGATAGATACACACTGAAAACCTACTTTGATCTCTTTCACCCTCAACTCCTTAGATTTGACAACCGCGATGAGTCTAGTTAAGTTACAGAACAATTAGAAAAAAAAATTACATATGATTGAATCATAAAAAATAAATCTCACCAGAGGGCGGAAAATTGAGAGGAAAGAAAGTAATGATACCTACTTAGCTTTGAAATTATGTATAAGGGTTTGACCAAGTAAAACTATCTAGGTAAGGACTGAAAAAACTTTGAATAATAATTAACGGTAAAAGCTATGACACAGCCTGTGACATATTTTGTGGTAGCAAAATATAAATTAAACTCAAGAGGAAAACAGCCAACATGTGAATATTTGTATGTTTTCGTTTTATGTTCAGCTCTGTTCTTGCATTCAGTCATACCTACTGTTAAGTACTAAGAATCAATACCTGCTGCTTCATTTAACTAGTAAGTGTCATTCACAACAGCGATTCAGAATTAGCTGCACATTATTCATATTACAGTTCATGAAATTACTAGATAAAAATGAGTTATTATCTCTAGTACAAAAAGTATCCTTTCAAAGGACATTTTTGTGATTTGTTTTTTCCTGAAAAGAAAAATGACCTGCAGTGCATGATTGGTGCTAATTGAAACACAAAAAGTAATTTACCAAAAAAATTTCAGTCAGCTTGTTGAAACATTTTCTTGTAAAAATATTTCTTTCGATTTCTAGTTAGAAAAAATTTTGAGTACCTTGAAATGTGCGCAAATTAAGCTTGAATCATTGTGAATGGCAAAAAAGGTTTAAACACCTTGCCAGAATCGATCACTGAAAGATTACATAAACAAATGAATATGCTCAGGGAAGGAATGACCTAATGTTTGTTCTATGGAGTAGCTGATCTGAAAAAACATTGGGCAAATTCAAAGACATTTTGACAAATATTGATCTAAGGCGTCTCCTTTTTACCCTTTTCCTCGAAAATTGTCCCTCTTTGTTTCCGGTTTAGATTAGCTGCGCCTGAGTTCATTCCTTCACCCACAAAGAGACTGCGAACAAATTTTTACTCAATGCGTGTAATTGAGTTTTTGGTAAGTATTGGATTTATTGTGACTGGGAATTTGGCTACAACGCTTCGTATGGTTGCCACAAATAGAAGGGAAAAAAGGGGGAGAGAGAGGATGACAAAACCATTACTTGGAAGGCTTGAGACATCTATGTCAGGTAGCTACGATGAGTGTATATTACAAGAATATTGATGCTTAAATACATCAAATGGGCTACTTAACAGGGAGCAAATTAAAGTACTACTATACAAATTTTCTCTTCAGAATTTCACAAATAAAACGATCCTCTGACCAAGAAAGTCAGAACAGAACTCAGGTAAGGTTAGAACTTCTGACCAATGCAGTACTTGCTACCGAAAAATCCTACTCGGATTAGAAGTTTAAATATAACAATTCAACGATGATGCTCATCTTTAATTTAATTTTCTTAAGTACACTATTTAAAGTCTTCGTTAGAATTTCAGCTCCAACTTTCTGCAGCCATCATTTTTCTCTTTAAATTTTCAAGAGAAAATTTGTAGAGAGCTACCTACTTTTCAACACCAGTTACAGTCCAAAAGGGAACGAGTCTTAGTCCACAAAGGTGTAATTTTCGGACAAACGATTTTTGTCATGTTGCATAAGGTTTGGATTTAGAGGTCTCAACAAAAAATGTTTCATTAAGAAGTAGTTGAAAACAGTTAAGATTATTTTTGCGCCATTAGAAGGCATGGCGCTGCACTATAATCAGACAATTTTGTACCCCGAGGAAGGCAGAGTAAAAATTGAAATCACTTTGTCTCAAAATTATGTTTTATGTTCTACAAACTTCAAGCCATCATAGCTTTGGTTTGGTTTGGAATTTTTGGGTGTTTTTTGTCCATAGGAAATTTCTTTACGCTACAATATCCATAGCTCCATTTGAAGCTTATGTAGACTAAGGTTCCTTGTTCAATGGACTAACATATTATTTTATAGGCATTGAAAATTTTCTAGATGTATTTCTGGTAAGATTTTAACAAAGTTGTTATCATGCACGCGAATACTTATTGTTCCCATTCTTACATCTATCATTTTTGAGAACGATAAAACAATTGCTTTTAAAATTAAGACTTAGCTCAATTCAACCAGAAACCTGGACAAATTTTAGACACGTTTCAAAACCATGGTCTATTCTCTGAATACTGAAGAAAGTACACTTGTGCGAATGAATAATCATACTAACAGTGGAAGGAATATTAACAATAGAAAATAACTGGAAAAAAGGGAAAACAAAAATTCAACAATAAACAAGGTTCCATTGCACAAGCTCAACGAGGAAATGCCGTCGAACGACATTTTGATTGAAATTGATGATAGATTAACATTGACTCAAAACAGCTTCTTTGACCAGATATGATTTCAGTTACAATGGATGCGTCCAGATTTTACTGAAAAATTTCACAGGGATCATCAGTTGATGTATAAGTTTTTACAGCATGCACATGTTTTGTTTAGACATCAATGCAGTTTATGGGTGCAGTGAGTAGCCCTGGAAAAGCAGCAAATAAAAAAAAATTGCCCATTTAGATCCAACATATACCAGATGGGCATTCATAAAAATGCTAATTTACCGCTTTCGCATTTCTGATATTTAAGTATTTTAGATTAAATATGCAATAGACTGCCAAAGTGTTTAGTGCTTATTATTCAACGAATCATCTAGGAACATTCATTTTCACTAAGTTCATAAGTTCTACGTTTAAAACATCTCTGTTCAGAAAAATTCATGCTCCATATCCTTTTGTATAGATGTACGCATCCTATTTACTAAAGCCACTATCAGGCAATGCTATTTACAGCAAAGTCAACAGAGAATCAATTTTATCCAAGCACCCATCTCCCCATTCAGACCATTTTTACATGCTACAACAGCCATCAGCATGTTGCTAATGATGCAGGCAGGCGCTCAGACTTAACAATACGATTGAGTGCTTGCCTGCGTCACTGCCCAAGGGCAGTGTTCCGCCTTTCCCCTAAAATTTTGTGAGCCACCTTGGCCGGAAAGTCCGAGTTTTAGGAGCCGTATAAAAATTTTTAGAGACCAAATTGACTTTTTGCATATGCATCATGAGTAATTGCTCCTTTGAGACTGCATGTTGAAAAAAATCAGCGGGTGCGTCAGCTTTTTAAGGTGCAATGATGGCCGGTCTCCCAATTTTTGGAGGCCAAAGTCCAATTTCTAGGTGTATTTGGTGCATGGCGTCCGTGGAAGGCAGAACACTGCCCAAGAAAGCTGAGTATTGAGGGTTGCAGCACTAACTCAACACAGGAAAACTTAAACAGAGGTGCTTATAGCGCAAAAATTTGATGCTGGAACGCTGGAAAAATATGATCAGCCCACTAACAGGAGCCAACTGTGCGAAGTGATTGAATACTAGCGCAATTTCTGCTACCTAGCTAACTTCCAATCCCATCCTTCTACTTCAATTTTTCCGGATAAGTTAAACTTTTAACCCTCAATACTTACTTTCTGCAAAAGGATCTCATTTTTGTAGTTGATATACACTGACCTAGAGCTTTTTTAGCCACATATCAATAATTTGTAGAACAAACAAAGGCTCTTGGTTATTTTTTGACAGATGTTGCAGACATCGAGCCTGGTTGGAACTTGATGTTAAGTTATGAGTGCATGATTTTCAACTGCGATAAAACACTGCAGTTTTCGTCAAATTTCGATTGTTTTTAAAAGTTCATTTCATTTTCATTGGTTCTTATTGTTTAATTTTTGATTAAACATGTTTTGTCCACGAGTTAATGCATGTAATATCATCCATTGGCACTTAAAAAAGGAAAAGATTGATAATACTTTCGGATCTGCACAGGAAATTAATTGATGCACTCAGGTTTTACTCGTTTTAAATGTAGTAAAACCTTCAAAATTAGAATTTAATTGCATACAGACCACAAATCATAAATGTTTACATCTAAACAATACGAGTTCATGGGGCGGAAAAATTTCCCCCTCAATTATTTGGAGACAAAGATTCTTTTTTGTTTTTAAAAACTCTCTGTGACTTTTCATCACCTTAAAAAGAAAATATTTTTCAAAAATTTTGATCAACAATACAAATTAGTATTTCAAAAATTGAGAAAAACAACGATGAAACACCGTTTTCAAGATAGGTGCTTTTTTGGGAACACCATGCTTACTATTGCTTGGGTTTTCTTTGTACTAAAAAAAACTTGTGCTATCAAGCTCTCATGAATATTATCTTTAAAGAGTATTCACTAAAGTCCCTATACAGAATATAAGTGGATAAAGGTTGCATACCTGTCGCTATTTCATTCGGTTGATGACTAAATCGCTTACAACTATCAAAGATTTCTGATAAGGAGATTCTGCTATTGAACCAGCTAAACGTGCAGCTTCGAGACAGTGTTTTCTTGCTAAAAATCTTGTTTGCTCAAGACCTTGTGATTTGTGTACCAATTCAAAGGCTTTTTCCACATCACCTTCTTCTTGAAATCTTCTCATTATCATTGGATTTAATTCTGGATACTAAGGAAACAAACGAGAAATGATTAAACTGACAATTTTGGGCAATAAAGGAGAGGAAATTGTTTTGAAAAATTAGGAGAGGTTAAAATGAACAAGTCCTGACAACTATTCATCTTTACAGACCTTTCCTTATCTTCAAGGTAATTTTAAAAGATCTAGGGATCAGACTAACAATACCTTGAGCGACCACATGGTCCGCGTCATTGAGAAGCAATAATTTTAAGATAATGACTTTTGTCAATGGTCTCATTAAAAGATGGATATCAGCCACAGCTTTCAATTTTGATGTCTGAACTTGCAACTTGTGGTTGCAGACTCGGTGTTTAAATTAGTTTCAGGAGCAACATGATTTTGAGCAGCCTTTTGCCTTTTTATGAATTTAATAGGTGTCAGCAGTCAAAAAGATGACCATGGGTTGTATCCAAACTTTTGAGTGATTTTGGCCCTTAGTATCTTTCATTGCACTCGTGCATTTTTTACTTTCACTCGCCGATAAGTAGATTTGAAAAATTTCATTGAGTGATCCTGTGTGAAATTTATATTTACCTTTTCACACGCAAATAGAACAGGTGCTGTAGCAAGACCCAGCTTTAAGTCAGCAGCTGTTGGTTTACCCATTGTGTCTGAGGATGAGACAAAATCTAGCAAATCATCCACAAGTTGAAATGCCAAGCCAACATTTCGCCCATATTCAAAAGCTACTTCTGATAATTTTGCATCAGCTCCTGCTAACATTGCTACCTGCAAAATGATAGGAATAGATTTGGTTAGGCACAGAGTTACTAGTAGAACCAATGATCAAAATTTGTAATTAAATTATAATTAGGCAAAAATGGCAAAATGGTTTCTCTTGAGTATTCCTCAGCTGGCTCGTATTATTGTTCAGCTAGTTTTCATCCAGTGAGTTCATACTCTGTTACATACTTACCTGAGATTTTTTATGTTTGATCCTCAAGGATACTTGAGCTCTCTTAAAAACTTTTGTTGACAATTAGTCGATTTTAGAGCGATTGCCTATTAATCTGCTACCAATGGCGTTGGATGTCATCACTACGGAATCATTTATGTCTGGTCTAGTTATTGCCATCGTAAATCAGCTGAACGTCATTTGTGCTGTGCTAACGAAAAACGCTGTAAAACCTTCAGACGTTGCCAAATTTCCTTTGATAGAATACGAATTTATCGGTCCAGTTGTAAATATTTGCCTTCCAATTTTTTAGACAGTTTTGCGCACAATCTGATATAAAATGTCTGAAAATTTCAAGGGAAAATGAGTATAACTTTCTTCCCAAATAAATGATTCATTAGGGGAATTTTGGCAACATTCTGATGTTCATACAGCGTCCTTCTCCAGCATGACAGAGCACCATGGCCTCCACGGATAAAGTGTGTACTTACTGCTTTCACAGAATTTGCAATCAAACTGGCTGTTTTTCGGTAGGACTTAGTGAGGTAGTGAGCAAATCTTTCATTTTCAGTTTCTTTGGATCCAAGCTGCATAAACTCTCCTTGCACAAGATCCGTTACGACCTGGAGGAAAGGAGATGTTTCATAAACATAAAGAGCGAAACCAATAACATGGCAATCTGACAATAAAATTAATTATGAAACAATAAAAGCTACGCACCCACCCAAACTTTGAATTGAAGTAATTTTCCATCAAGAACTTACGACACTAAATATTACAACTGACCTTAAGCATATTAAATTGAATAGTTCTCAACATTTTCTCTCTGGTGCAGACAAAATATATTCTCCTATTATTTCTAGCAGAGGGTACACGTTTGGGGGAAGATAATATAATTAGGCGAAGAATTTTTAGGGTTTGGATACAAAAATCATCTACTGATATATATTTAAAATGGGTGGCTTTGGATCCTACATCTACATGAAAACCGACCACTTGAAGAGGGTTGAGCTGGAGCATACAGTTTAGCTGAAAATCTGATCAAAATACACCTAGATTACCTATCAAACAAAGTCTAGAATGAAGTTGGATGGAAAGGCCGTTTGCTCACCTGACTGAGAGTTAGGGTAACATCATTATTGCGAAGTCGGGCGATCATCATTGAAGCTACAGCTAAAATAAAATCTCCAGCCATGGCCACCTGTAACAAATAAATTAAAAATCATCAAACTTCTCTTCATAGTGATACTCAAATATTAACGTTAGTGAACCTTTAATAGCATGAGCCACTTGTTCAAAAAGGTAGGTAAGTAGTCTCGATGGAAATAAAAAAGACAGGTGATTAAAAAATGTGCATCTTGAGATAGAAGCACGAAAGTCTACTGCTATGCTGAGGAAAAATGCTGAGTGAAAAAAAACCTTCGAGGAAAAACCTTTGAACGTAAACAATTTCCTTTGATACAAAACAAATTTCCTAATAAACTTATAAACAATTTTCTTCTAGTTTTTTCGAGAAAATTTTGCTCGCAGTTTAACCTATATTTCCTGAAAATTTAAAGGAAAAGTATTTATGACCTGCCTCAAAAATAAGTATACTATAGGGGAAATTCGGCAACATTTCAGTGTTCATACGGCGTTCTACCTCAGCGCGGCAAGGCGCGACCATGTACAGAGAACATTGAACGAGCGGGTTAAAAATTTCCTTCAACGCGACGAGCATGCAACCCCCGACAGTTGTGCTTGAACAGTTGCCATGGGGACCGGAGGCGCTCGACGAGAAAGTGCCGCTCTGATGTTCTTACTCGGGCGTTGAAGTCACGACGATGTTACCGAGCTCAAATTTCCTTCAACGCAGCGAGTATGCAACCCCTCGATAGCCGCGCTTGAATAGTTGCTATTCGGGACCGAAGGCGCTCGACGAGAAAGTGCCGTTGACGTTCTTACTCAGGCGTGGAAGTCACCACGAATCAACGTAATGCTTGCATCCTTTTCAATTCAACCGACTACCCGTGAATTGATTTTTCATAATTCGATTTATTTAATGAGTAGATTATGAATACGTCAATTTTCTCGCGACGGGATCCTGCTGTCTGCTAGATCGAAAAGCTCGCCGCGCCTCAATCAATCAACAGTCTCCGATGCCATTTAAAACAAATAGGTAAAATGCAGTCTCAATTGAAAGGGGGGAAAAGAAGAAAAAACCGTAACTTTTTTCAAAATAATGAACTCTTGAGCTCGCCATATTTCAAACATCGTCTGTGTGAGGGGAAGTGACGGCGAAATATTCATTCATACTACTGAATCCATTCAATGAGAATTTTTTCGGGTCGTTTTTAAAAGAAAAAAAATAAATTAAAAAAAATTAATACAAATAATTTCAAGGCGACTAGACGCTGAATAACTGGGATATGCATGTAAAACACCCCAGGAATTTTGGCGAACAAGCGTCGATACTTTAAAACTTATCAATATAATAAGGAAAGAGTAAAAAATCAAACGAAAGAAGGGACTGTAGCTGAAGCTGAAGACGAGCGAATGACGGAATGTTGGGGGAGAGGGGAAGGGGGAAGGGGGGGGGGTATGGCGCGCCATCGAAGGTGAAAGTTCCGAAGAACAAGAAGTTGGCCCGATGACCATATCAGGGTCCGCGCGTCCGCCGCGCCAGTGAGGCAACAACGTGTTCGCGGTGTTTCAACAATAATATCGAAAATTGTGCAACGCTCCTTTTTTTCCTTATTTTATTTTTATTTTTTCACTTTGCACCGTGATACGCAATAGACTTTTGCCTCGGAGCCAAAACCCGAAGCCCCTAAGGTGAGCTTTTGATGGGACCGAGCGCCAGATCTAGATACATTACTTTGATTCGAAAAAAGTCATTTTCGGGGGACAAAATTAGTCCTTATCGTTTTAAGAGGGCAGGGATTAGATTGACACGAATCGACCGAAAATGAAAATGAGCGTCGATCGGTCCATGACGAGTGATATAAAAGTCGGTGTCAACACGGTCGACTTGAAAAAATCGGAAAATAGATACAGGAACCGATCTCCGAGAATCGATCGACAAACACTTGAATCGATCGATAAATCCGTGAGTCGCCGACAAACCCGTGAATCGACCTACAATTGCGTGAATCAATAATGGACACTGCGTAAATCGATTGGCAACTCCGTGAATCGATCGAATTTCGTCAATCAAATCGATGTCGATCAGGTTCGAGTTTTATTTTTACGATCGTATCGACACCGGCTTTTTAATAATTTGTCCATCTTGATGCCGATCGGTTCACGTCGATCGATGCACGCTTTTATTTTGCGATCGATTCATACCGATCAAATCCACACCCTACAACGAATGATGACAGATGAGAAAATGAATCGGTTAAGTAATCGGTTTGATCAAGTCCTTAATGTCTGGCTAACATTTTCAGTAAACCGCGGTACCTCCTAATATCCTCTTTTCAGTCGTTTCCTGAAATCCTTGCTTTTGAATTTGCCTTTTCCTCCTTTCCCCCTCACCCATAAGGCATTTCAAAAACTGGAAAGGACATACTTTTGCAAAATACGAAGAAATTTGGATTTAGAGAGTGGAATGTAGGAGATCTGAAGGAATGATGTGACCTACGCAGAATCTAACTAAGATTTCACAAGAACGTCGTATAAAATAAATCATGTATACAAATTTCATGCTTTCAAGGCTCTTTCTTCGAGCGCACCTTGAATTTCCAAACCTTCGTGTAAGAAATCCGTACGTTTTCCGTACTTCCGTACTGACTTTCAATGTCTGTGCTCATTCAGTGTACGTAAGAAAAGTATTAGGGGTTATCCCCTAAAATTGGGGCACTACCCCAATTTTTTAGATGATATGGGCATATCCAATTAATTTTGGTAGTACCGCAACTCAAGTTGAGGGTAAAGCCGCGACATTTGGGTTAGTAACCTAATTTATTGGGGTGCTACCACAATTAAATGGTGATAACCAAATGGACTGCATTTTGCAATTTGGAGCTATAAATTCTGGCTCTTCTGGAAAAACACTTCTGTGCATAGGGAAACTAATGGCACATACGTCGTTTTCAAACCGGGCTAGAATTTATAGCTCCAAATTGCATCATGCAGTCCAAATCATCCAACGACTCCGCTCTTTTTTCCTGAGGTGCTTTCTTCGTACAGTGCACACCTTGGATCAGGGGGTAAAAACATACCTGCAGGAAGGGGGGGGGATTTCGGAAGCGGGAGCCGGACAAATATGCGGCTTGATAGTTTTTATAAGGTTGGAGTGGGATTTTGCTTCATCATGCTGATGGTGAGTTTGACTCCGTCTAGACTTGGAAGTCAAGTTCAATCTCAATTGCCTATCAGACTCGGGACTCGAGTGAGAACTAACATGGATTCGCTTCCATTAGAGTCCCTTTATACTGAGAGTCAAGACAATTTGAATCCATTTCTGATTGGTTCCCGTATTTTAGGCCTCCACAGTGTCACAAACGGGAAAAAGATTACATTTTCACCAATTGCAAAGATTATAATCTGGAATGGACCAGGGAATTACGGGTTCGGCAAGGAACAAACGGAATGAGAGGAGGAACGGAGAAAGGCATTTGAGAATGGGCCGATCAAAGATTACGAAAAACGTTCAATTTCTGTAATCTTTATTCCCGTTTGTGACATCCATGAGCCGAATTGTCTTGACTCTCAGTATAAAGGGACTCTAGCTTCCATCACGGTGATCACAGGGGTACCTCGTTGGATTAAGATCAATTTTCGTGGATTTGTTTCCTTCAAACTTAACAAAACTTCAGTTTGAAATGAAACCAAAACGCTCGCCGGTGGAGCACAGAATCTTTATCATTCAGAACGAGCGTCATTCTATTGTTTCGGTGGCTCTATGAAATCACTCGAGTAGCATGGCAGATTACGTCCGGTATTGTACGAATTATTCTAGTCACATTCCTTATGGCTCGTTAACAAACAAGTTATTGGTGGCAGGGTGTCTCCTTTATGGAGCAATTTTCAAAATTGTCGGCTTGTATTTTATTTATACCATTGCCAAATTTCTTTACTTTTCCGGCATACAACAGAATTAAAGGCGCTTTTTCGAAAGCCTGGGAAATTTCACCCGACTCAATCAGCAGGCTGATTGTTGAAACTGATAGACGAAACCTGTATACGAAGGAGACATAGGGAGTATGGAGCGATCCTATTGGTTGAAATGGGTGGTTCTTACAGACTAAGGGGGTAAATGATGGACTAACTGTAGGATCTCTCGTGGGTTGCCGTTAGTTGGATTGCATTTTGCAAAAAGGATCCACTAGCATTGCAATGATGCTAAGATTGTGCAACTTCATCCTTTGCAATAAAATTGCGGAAATCGTGAAAAACTATGAAATTTAGATGGTAATTTTTGTCTTAAATTCACAGTTTTTGGCGAGTAAAATAGAAACTATTAATGGATAATCGGGTTTTTCCTCCAAGACAGAAGAAGTTGCACAATCTTAGCAACATTAAAATGCTAGTGGTTCCTTTTTGCAAAATGCAATCCAGTTAGTCTATTACCTACCTCCTATGTCCATTGCAACCATCCACACTGAGAAAAAACTATGGCTTATAAACCTATTAGAGGTAAATATGGAACACCACTAATAGTAGTACCTCTACATATAATAATAGCACATATACCTTAGTTATGGTACGGGGTACCTTAATTAGGTACAGAGACCTTAGTATGGTTCACAGACCGAGAATCATTAGTTTATTTACGACTATTATAGGTGTTCCATATTTACCTCTAATAGGTTTATAAACCATAGTTTTTTCTCAGTGCACTTCCACCAATATGCTGCAATTCTCAGCAATATCTGGCAACAATGGCTGAGCCACTCGGCTGACCAAAGGACGAGCAAGAGTCTTCGGCCGGCACGCAAGACGGATAAGCACCGCACTGCTGAGGAAGAACGCCGTATGATCATTCAGGAGTTGCCAAATTTCCTCCGATAAAATGTTCATTTTCAAGGAGAGTTATAAATAATTCCTCTTGAAATTTTCAGACGATTCAGACAAGATCGCGAATGAAACTCTCTAAGAAATCGGTGGAAAAATATTCTCGGATTTCCCTGGAAATTCGCATTTGATGAAAGGAAATATGGCAACGTCTGAAAGTTCGTGCGGCGTTCTTCCTGAGCACGAGAGGAGTGAGGCGGGTCC